AGAGAGAGAGAGAGAGAGAGAGAGGATAGGTTAAGCAGGGTAAGAATGTGGCGTCATAGATAGACTTGCTGGTAAGTGCAACCTTCAAGGACTCTGACGTCAAAATGGCAGATGAGAAAGAAAGGACAATGTAAGCGATCCCTGTGTCATCGCTCTCTTCTATTTAGCAAACGTTACCTTGCAATGCTCAAAGACATAGCCCGACAACCATTCACTTCAAAGTCGGGCCGTCGACGTGGCTTGGTATTGTGTTTTAACCTGAGCTCACTACCTACACCTACTTGAAGAAAAAAGGTTAGTGGAAATAAATTAGAATCAACTTCTCTTTTTTAGCGTAACTCATTGAAGACTGGAGTTTTGATACTCATATTTAGATGAGTGAAGATTCTAGTCCACTGATACAACTGACTTTTTACACAATTTACTTCAAAGTGATACATTCCATTTTTTATTTGATAAAAGTTGGAATTACTTTCTGAAATGTATGCCGATTTCAAGATAAACAATACGCACAACTTGCAAGACAAAACAGCAAGTAAGCAAGCTTGTGGGTATGCGAGGAGGCAATCAGGAGTGAGAAAGTGACAGACAGAAGACAAAGATGGTATGCAAATACACAGGCACATACCAACACTCAAACAAACAGGTGTGCGTGCACACACACACACACACACACACACACACACACACACACACACACACACACACACACACACACTAACACACACGCACACACACACTCACACGCGCGCGGACGTCATGATCTCTCCAGATGTCGCCCCGCAGCCATGCGAAGAAGAGACACACCCACCATACATCGTGTATACATTGCTTGGTTGAACCATATAATCATACGTATAGCTTTTTACCGCCTTTCAGCGTTTAAGTTCCGCTCGTTTCGCTCAAGATAAAAAACAACAACAACAACAACAAAAACAACGAAAAAGAAATACAAAGTGGAGATGATAAACCCTGTTAACCTTTGATGGGAATAAGTTTGTTTTGTTTCAAATATTTCCCCCTCGTACTATTAAAGCACGAGGAGTATAACCGCAGAGGTACTGATTGTATTTTTGCAATTTTAGCAAAATGAACTTTGGGCACTTGTGTCTTTTGAGCTTCAAATGCTGCTTTCAATCGCGTGACTGAATGGGTGACACAACTCGACAGCCCTTTTCAATAGACTCGAAAGCCACAAAACCTTTTCTTGTACATGCATGTAAAACGAAGCGAAAAGAAGAAAGCAACAAAATCTCCTCTGTGCCAAATTTTTTTTTTGGTCCTTTCTGAATAAGCGAAATCAATTTTAATGCCTTCTAAAGTCTATAGTGGCCGTATGCTAGTAATCAAACGCCATGTAGGAGGGATGGTTGATGTATTTGCAGTATTATGTAATTGAAAGGGGCGAGTTTAGAAAGTAGAATACACGTAGACTGTTCAGATTTGGCCGTCTTGCTTTCGTGGCTTTTGGTAGTGGAGATATATATACGTGTTCCGCTTGTTTCCCACGGAATGCCGTTACCGCCAAGCTGCCTGCCACACGGCTTGCTCATGATTGTATGACCGACTTCTCATTTTGTGTTTCTCATCATGGAGTGGATGTTTTGAAATCTCCAGCACCGGCTTCGCCAACATAACAGAGTTTGTGGTTGCCAAAAGAACTAAGCATATGCCCTGCGATATTGTCAACAACTTTTATGAAGTTTTGAGTTTACTAGTAGAAGGTGACAGGGGCTTGGGGCTAATTCTTGCGAAGTCATCCTCGTTGTACTGAATTGTGCAGATGTTTTGGGATCGTGCGTGCATGTGGGGGGGGTGGGGGGGAAGCTTTCCACCTCGTTTGTTCGTTGGTGGGTTGTTGTTTTTCTGATGGTATGACTATTTTCATGATATGAATTCTCCACCTGTAACGTGACTCATCAGTCTCCAGTGGTTGAGGATAAACCTCTCCAATATTTTGACATGCTGGACTTTATTGGCCTGTAAGGACCGCACCACAGTTACACGTTTTATTGTTATTGCACACGTACGTTAGCCCTGTTTCGTTGTTATTGGACACCAGAGTGTCAATCATAAAGTCGTGTTATGAACAAGGGGTCGCAGAGCTGCCCCTCACACCCCCCCCCCCCTTTCCACCTCAGGGAAAAAGCTAAACAAAAAAAAACAAAAAAACAAAAACAAAATAAGAACAAAACAAAAACAAACAAAAATCACAAACAGCAAAGTCGCTTTCTGATTAATTATATCCGTTAACTGGAACAACTTGTCGGAAACTGCCATTCAACTACGACGGTGAAGACAGACTAATTTTTGAGCCACGAAGATCTACGGATCTATAAGTTGCTGTCGGTTTGGCAGCTCTTTTTTGTAAAGTAGTAAACGAGTTGGTTTTATTAGGGGGAGGGTTGGTGTTTACTTCATTTGAATGGGTGTTTTCATGACAAAATACTTGTGGGTGGTTTGAGGGTGCTCTTTGTAGGTTCTTCATCTATCTATTTGTTTTTGTCTGTCTGTCTGTTAATTTTCCCAACACCAAATGACCATCATTGTCATGATGTGCTTCTCTTTACAAACACAAACAAACCAACAATAACACAAAGTAGTTTGTTTTATTCAAGGCATATTAATGAATGAACTTTGGTTCAACGTACGGTGTATTCCCACCACGGTCACCATCATGTATTGTTATTTGTTGTTAATGACTGCCTGACTGACAAACACCCACCCGTAGTCATAATGATTTCCTGATGACTTTTTTTGCGCTGCTTACTAATTACTGCGAGGTTTGTTTTGGTGTCTCACCACCGCCACACCCCCACACCCAAACACACATAC